GATGTTCCAGTACTGTATACTACTTTTATTTAGTATTATAAATTTATCAGTCTTTTGTTGCCATTTTTATGAAGTTACCACAATCAAAATAAAATAGAATGTTTCTAAAAACATTTAATATGTTGTCTTTGTTTCACTATATCAAAGACAACATATTAAACTCATATTCACTTTAAATATAATATTTAATTAAAAAAATGTGCTTCATGTGATATATTTGGTCATTTATATGTTTTTAGGATGCTGAATGCAAAACATGAGAAGTTTACATTAAAAAAAGCACAACAGTGATTAAAAAATCAATATTTTATACAATTAAATATGCCTAATTTCTCCGAGATTCATTACCTTTCACTATGAACAAAATAAACCACCTTGCATTTTCGATTTGTATTTCTCTTGAGTCTCACTTTTAGAAATGTTCAATTAATATAAGAAATCATTATTAGATATGTTTTTTGACTATAGGATACCAGGTTTCAGTTTATAAAGGGAAATTGTAGCTTAATGAAACTGAAAACTGTCAGGGGTGTGTGTGGATGAGAGGAAGAGATGAAACGCAGGACTCATGGTGAGAGTTGGAGTTTAATAAAATGAGGGGACGAGCAGAACTTAAGATGGCTGAACCGAGATCACACATGCGGAGTCGACAACATCAATGACAAGACACTGGACCGAGAGAAACTGAGGTTTAAGTCCAGGCTGGGTGATGAGTAATTAGAAAGCGGTGAGTGAACAGCTAAAAAGTAACTGGAACAGCAAAACAGGAAATGAGAACGAGTGACAAAATAAACTGAACATGAACAAAACTGAAAACACTGGGTGAACCAACCAGGACAAAAACATGAGTTTTGCAAGAAAACCTGATGAGATGGAATTTTTAAATATTTTTCCTGGTTTCAGTGATAAAAGTGTTTAAGAAACAGTCCAAAAATCTGTCTGTAAATGTCTGTATTCTTATTTGATTTACGTTTTACACATGACTCCATTGTTATTTTTGTTTAATCTACTACAGAAAACGTTACAATAGAAAATAATGAAACAGGTCTACAATAATCATCTGACATATATCAGCTAAAACTGCACTTTATCATAAATATGATGCATCTTCTTGACACCTATTCCCAGTATCTCTAATGAATGCAAAATATGAATTAAAAGAAAATTAGAAAAGAAAATCAGGAGCAGAAATGATGAAAGTTGAGCTGTATTCAGTATTTAATGGAGTGAATTTCCATCCATTGTGCAGAAAATGTTTTGATGGTGTGGTTGTGGGGTGACAGCGGCTCTGCTTTCTGGTTCATTTGTAGATGCAGATGAAAAACACGTTGAGAAGTTGTCTGAAACACGCGTCCTCCTTCGTCATGGACAGCTCGTCATGGTAACGCTCTTCCTCGGTCAGTTGAGCTTCTTCTTTAAGTGACTAACAAGCTGGAACAAGAGCTCTGTCAGCACACCTCTGACACCCATTAAGCACTCTTTGCATGGCAGATGGTTTGATGAGGCTCTTTCTCACTGCGTGACTGAAAAAAGCTGAAGTCATCTCAGACACATAACTACAATAAAATATTTGGAACATCAGGACAGTCAAGCGTTTGTCTTTGTGTTTCATGCTGTCTGCGTAGTTCAGGGTTGTCAAACATAAGGCATGGGGGCCAGAATTGGCCCACCAAAGTCTCTAAGCCACCTCACTGAATCACTTTGAACAATGTGATGGAGGGCACGAGTTTTAACTTCATATTCATGAGTTTTACAGTTTTTTCAGCTGATAAAGAACTCGGCCGCTATTAACCCTTTAAAACCGGTCGGAGCAGCACGCTCTGTTTTGCGTAACTATTTTTAAATCCCTGTAGAACCGGAACCATGGAGGAGTTGTACTTACATCTTATGCCATCAGCTTGTCCTCGGTCACAGTTTCCTTCCACATATAGCTTTTCAAAAACTGCATAAAAAGCGCTTGCAGCAACAAAAACATAATATTCCAGAAACACGCTTTGCCGATCCGATCAGCTGTTCATAACACTTCCTACATTGGATTAGACGTCAGCGCGAACTATCGCATGTCCGCCATGACCTGCCCAAAACCGGAAGTGATGTCATTTTCGCGGAAATGTAGTTTTTTTACCATCCGGGCCTCAATGAGCTTACACTGGTGTTTTTAAAAGTTATGTTTGACTTTATGACTTTCTGTGTGGTTTCTGGGATGCTTAGGACTCATATTGCACTGCTGGAAATAGTTTATTTTGATGCATATGCTGCTTTTTTGCAAATTTGCATTATAATATTTATTTTCGTTTTTCCTGCAGTGTATAAAAATTGGTGTATTTCAAAAATAAAACTATGAAGACACTCAAAATAAATTTCCTGTGGTGGGAAACTATTTTGTGCAACTTTTTTGTATTTACAGTTTTGAGGGATAAGCCTCTTAAATTTCTCTAACTAGAAATATATGTTAAAAAAACAAAAACGATTTTCAATTTTTTTGTAGTTTATTGCACTTTTTTGCAATTTATGTAATTACTATGCACTTAATGCAGACATATTATTAAAATTTGGGCTGTAATGGTTATATTGATGTATAGCAACTTGAAATGCTCCCAAAAATGGCTCCACAGCATGTAAAAATATATTATAAGCTCTGGCGGACTTGGTTCTGTGGTAGGTCTTAAAGGGTTAAGTAATAAAAAAAAACCTGCTATAATATGCTATAGAAAGGTAGTTTTATACCATTTGTCCACATTAAAAATAAATAAATTAATTAATCTGAAATTTTCTTTTTAATTAACAAAAATTTCAGTTTTATAACTACAGGACGGTTTAGCAAAGTTTTTTTTTATCATGAACAAAAAACTGAGATTTACTATTGAAATTGCTTTTTTCCCGATATTAAGCTCTGTCAGGGGTTAAATGTGTAATTAAACTTCTTCACAGTTATACGACTGAGTTTGAAATACTTTTAAATCTGCTGACATGTTTCACTTCACTCTGAGCTCTGCTGCACATCCTGATTTCTTTTTACAAACGTTCAGTCCTCACATTTGATCACAAATATCAGCTCTTTGACGTAAAGACAGCTTGGACTTATTTTCAGTTTTCATGCCTGTTAACGTCAGATGTGATGGAGGATAGGAGATGCTGCATGATGTGAACACATCTTGTAAAAAACTTAAATAAAAATGATTTCTACGACTTTTATCTGCTTTAAACTAACAAGCTGAGCAGATGGAGCAGAAGGTTAATAGCTGATCAGATCATGTCGGCTCATTAGCTTTAGTTTGTTTTACTAAGTGCTGTAACCAGTCAATCAGAAACACACTGTCACTTAATATGTGCTGATGGCAGCGCATCTGTTTGTACACACACACACACACACACACACACACACACACACACACATGCCATCTCTTCACAGGGCTGTTCATTTCCTGAAACTTAAACCAAATCTTTCACCTCAGGTTTAATAAATCATATTAATGGTTTGCAGAGACCCCGTAATCCGTAATCACACACAAGTCTCCACAATGTGGGTGAAATCGCAGGGGGCGTGTCCAGGTGGTGCTGGTGGAGTATAAATGGCGAGAAGGCTCTTGGTTCTGCCTCACACAGCCCAGCTGCTCCTGCTCTACATCTCAGAGTTAGCTCCTCCTCTCTGCCTGTGCAGGTGAGTGCTGGCTGTAGGTTTGGTCGTGAGGACAGTGACTGTGACGCTAACGTGAATGTGCTTTTGTGTTCAGCTCTTTTCCAGCATGGCAGCGCTCTGGCTCCAGACCTTCTCCCTGCTCGTCCTAATGATGGTTTCGTGGCCGGGCTCCCAGGCCGTCGGTGGGCCACAGCACCTGTGCGGCTCTCACCTGGTGGACGCCCTGTATCTGGTCTGTGGGGACAGAGGCTTCTTCTACAACCCCAGGAGAGATGTGGACCCTCTGCTTGGTGAGACCACCAACCATGAACAGAAACACTAGACAAGCTATTTGAGGGCAGCTTTTCTTTCTCAGTTCACTTTAAATCAGCTTTCATGTTGGAAACTGTAATTTTTCATATCTTTATGGACCCTACATCATTAATTTACATCTAGTTTTTTAGTTTTCAGTTTTATTTGTCATATGCAAGTTAGCACAGGGTCAACATTGCAATGAAATGTGTTTGACGAGCAGCAGTCACTCAGCAGCATGATACAGTAGGAGAAAATATAATAAAATAAAATAAAATGGTAAAAGAGAAAAGATGACTAAATATATATGTATCTATAAATATAAATATATGTACTCTAGTGATTAAATAAGAAAATCTTGAAAAGAAATATGACGGGAGGGCAGATGGGATATTGCACAGGAATGAGCAGCAGAAAATTACAGTATTGTCATTTGTCTCAACACCTGCATCATATAATGGTGCCGATTTTGTAACACTTTGTGTTAGAATTAGTAATTTATGTTCTAATATGTTTAAAATGTATTATTTAATATAAATTACCATAATTTTAGATCTGAACATTCACCTGCTCTTCATCCCATCAGGTTTCCTCCCTCCAAAGGCAGGTGGCGCTGTGGTGCAAGGTGGCGAGAGTGAAGTGACCTTCAAAGACCAGATGGAAATGATGGTGAAGCGAGGCATTGTGGAGGAATGCTGCCACAAACCCTGTACCATCTTTGACCTGCAGAACTACTGCAACTGAACTCTGCTCTGCTGGACTTTGTTTAGTCGAGCCAGGCTCGGCTAATCAGGTCCGAGTCCCAACCCCTCCTCCCCCCCTGCTTCAGAGGAGAGCCACAGCTGTCCCCTCTCTGAAAACCAACTGCTGTCAAATGAAGTGCTGAGAAATGGATAAAATTAATTTTCCAAGAAAATAAAAATGCAAAATGTGACGACGTGAGGCAAAAAAGTGTGTTCTTTTGTTGTGATGAATTCAGTTAAGTGATTACATTAAAAACTCAAGCATGTTAGGTACCTGCTGCTATCCAGCACAAACTGCTGAGCGTTCACTTTCCAAATATTTGTGTTTAGCTTATAGTGTCACTTCTCTGAACAGGATATAAACACATCATGCACTCGGACATGATGTCCTTTTCCCAACAATCCCTTGTCATCTTTATTTCAGCAGCTCAGTGTCAGTGTTTTTTATTCAGGTCCTCATGATGATACAGTGGGGATGCAAACTACAATGCTCTATTTAGAATTCCCATATACCAGTATTATTTCCTAAATGTTGCTAATAAAAAAGAAAATCAGAAGAATTTTAAGCAGTTTTAATTTTAATTTAACCTCATTTGAAGAAGAGGTCCAAAGTATGGGAATATTTAGAATTCCCATGTTGTCAATTCAAATAATGCCAATAAGAAACATAGTTTGAAATATTTAGCATTATTATCACTTGACTGTCAGCTCAATCTATTGACTTTGAAGGAATTAAATAAGTTTCAAAATACTACTTAATACTTAAATCAATTTAAAATCATGGAAACTGGGGCCCCACGGCGCATGTTTGCCCCGGGCCTCTGCTGAGTTTGCTCCGCCTGTGTAGGGCGGGACCGGCTCGTGCCGGCAGGGCGGGGTCAGGTGTTCACCTGCCCCGCTGCTTTCAGTCGTTGTTCCGCTGATTCCGTGACAGGGCTGTGGTGTGAGTGAGCCGGGCTGCGGGTTCCATGCTGGCTGCGACGCTGTCGCTTTCTGAACATCTCCGGACAATTAATCTGAGTTCTGTGGATGCGCAGAGTCCGCAGGCTACTTCCGGTTCTGTGAAAGCCTCAACAAAGCAGCACGATGCGAGATGTTCACCTGAGCAATGAGACGTGCACAAACGGTAAGAAGTCAGAGAGAAGTGTGTGTGTGTGTCACAGTCAGTCAGGTGTTTGTTTGTGGAGCAGGAAACGAGTGCAGACTGCGGGTGCGCTCTGTTTAAAAATGACTCACAACGATCCGGAAAACGGCTCCTTCTCCTCAGCCTGATGGACAGGGGCGTTTCCACGACTTTTTGCTCTGTGTGTGAGAGAGACAGCGGGAGAGAGAGGGACAAATAGTTGATCAAAAATAAATCCAGTATGTAAACTTGCTGTGGAGCTCAGTTGTAGTTTAGCTGCCATCATCTCTGGTGTTCTGTCACAAATCTGAGGAGCTTGAGAAGAACAGCCACAGACTTGTTGAAGTTTCTTGAAGATTGTTCTCCTCTCCTCTGAGGAGCTTCTTCACTTACACTGGAACAGCACTATCATCTGTTATATAGCAGTTAATCAGAGAAACTCAGTGTTCTCCAAGCAAGACATCCCAGTGTACCTCAGACCCAGCCACACCCTCAGACCAGATCTGGTGGTGTATCCTGTAGGGCTGCCACAATTAGTCGACTATCAAAATCGTCGATGACTAATTTAATAGTCGACGCGTCGTTTGAAGCTTTGTAAGATCACAAAAGACGCAGGTTAAACGCACCGAGGTTAAATGTGTAACTCCTGGTACTCAGCCGGGACTCGTCATCCATTCATCTAAGACTTTCAAACCTTTCCTGTCAGCAAATAACTTTGAGCCCTGAGTACACATGTTTAATTTACCTCAGTTTTCATGTGCACTTCAGTAAGGTTGCAAACACTCGACACTCCATTAGCTCCTTTAGGGCTGTAGAACAGATCAGGACTTCCGATTGGTCCACGCTCATTTTAGATCCAGGCTGTTCTAAACTTCAGAACTCGTCTAAATCTACATGCTATTTTTATCCTTGTGTGCCTGACTGTCTGCTGGAACACGTGCACTTCTTAAATCTTTTTTATCTAAA